CATCCTCTCGTCATATTGCGATTCCATAGTGGTATGCAATAGGATGATGAGTAATACCGATAATAGCTCTAGGTGAAAATAACGTGTGACTAGGCTTAACAAATCTAGGAGAACAAGGAAGGAAACAAGGTGAAATACTAGCTTCTTTAGCAAGAGTTGCAAGTGGTCTCGGTAGGAGTAATAGGAGGTGGCATAGCAATATGAGTAGTAGATGCGGATGATGTAGCAATTATTATGGGAGATGTAGACCCATATTCACCTGTCATTCCCTCCTCCTTACTCTCCCCCTACCCGGCGAGTTGCTTTTTTCTCCTTATAACCAATAGCCGTTGGAAGATGATGATGATCTCCCACCTATACCTCCTCGATAAAACTAGTTCTTTTTGTAGTTTTTTATTATTTTTATACACTAGAGCATATTTATATATATTTGATTTAATTTTACATTATAATATTTTCTTTTATAATTTTATTTTTAGTTATTTGTTACTATAATTAAAAAGTAAACCACTAATAGCATATATATATATATAATTCATTAGTGACGGATCAACGAATGACTAATGATGATAAAAAAAGATTAAATTATAACAACTAACGATGAACAAACACAAAATCCGTTGACCAATGGCAATAGATTCCATCGACAAATCACGGACGAATAGCTAAAATTTCTATCAATATATTAGCGACACCAAGCTATGGTTTAGTGACCACATTTAAAGACCAAATTCTACAAGGAATTTTTGTTTTTATATAGCGACGAAGTAAAACAAACTACCGATGGTGTTGTTGCATATGTTACAATTGCAAATTGATTGTTTGCATCACATTAGTGACGAAGTACTTCACTATAGCGACAACTTATTCGTTGCTAATTTTACGACGGATGATAACTTTTGTCGCTAAAATTATTGGCGATAAATGTTTTACCTATAGTCGATTTAGTCATTATTTCGTCACTAAAAGAAAATAATGAAGGAATATATAGAGGATTTAGCAATAGAATTTTTCATCACTAAAAACTTAATTTTTTGTAGTGTTATAATTCAACTAATAAACGTTTTAAGAGACATCGGTTCTATTTCTTTGCGGTATGTCACCCCGTTAACATAATTCCATAATAAATATAGCTTCTCAAGCAAGAATGAAAATCTCTCTCCTTCTCCGATAGGAAAAAATACCCAATCTGTCTTTATGTAATGAGCTTAGTATTTGATCTATTTTTATATTTTAAAATAAGTTAATTATGTCCTTACTATTTAAGTGAGTTTTTAATTTATTTTTCTTATCAATTTTTTCGACCAAATCATCTCGAAAAAATAATGTAACTTGCATATGATTTATATATATATATATATATATATATATATATATATATATATATATATATATATATATATGATGATGATGATGAAAATACTCCTCTTAGATTAATATGTGAAAGTCGCGTTTGATTGATTTTTTTGACAAAAAAAAAAAATGTAATTTGTACTTTTTACACTGAGAAGGACATTTTTATATATATAAAAAAAGAACAACAAATTTTATTCTAAATTCTTTATATAAAAACAAATTAGACTATTTTCCTTTGTCAAATAAGTTGAACATGTGATGGGCATGAGAAAATTAGGCGTGGAAAAACATCAAATGGGCCATTAGAGCAATTACAATGAGAAGATCAACTACAACAAGTATCTTTGAAAAAAGGCAAACCTTGCAGAATCATCTGTTTGAATTTGAAGGCTGCATAAGATCAAATGAAAGTGATTCACAAGAAATTCAGTTAGATATTTCCTTGAAGTCACGGCAAAATAACTGGCAACGTATCCTTTGGTGCCTTCAAAAGGCCGCCATTAAGATACAGTGGAATGACTTATGTATGTTTGGAACCAGATACAAGTCCATGTAACTGGTACGTAAATGCCAAGTGTAAAACATGGATCAGATTTTATTTTTGTTTTTTTCCCCCTTCACCTTCTGTCTGAAGCACTCAATGCCTTAGCTGTGGATTAATAAATTAAAGATTAAAAAAAAGGAAAAAAGAAAAAAGAAAAAAAACCAATAACAAGAGTCGGTATCAAGACAAATCATTGCATACAGCGAGAAATAAGTTTCAACCGAATAAATTTCACAACACTATTAGCAAAGGATTAATTATATATTTTGTTATTAAAATTTTGACATTTGTAAATATAAAGTATTTATTTTTTATTTATTTGGTCTTCCTACTTTAGATATTTTTAAATTTGGTCCTTCTGTTATGATATCATCAAAATATAGAGTTTTGCACTTCAATTTTTTTTAAAAAAAAGAAATATTAGAAAAAAATAAAAATAGTAATTTGATATCCCTAAAATATTTACAAAAAAATAATATTAGATTAAAAAATAGAAAAAGGACATTGAATAGAAAAAAGGAGCATTTTAAGAATTATACGGAGAAAAATGAAATATGTTAATTCACTATTTTTTTTTTTCATTTACGTTTCAAAATTTTTAATGTAAAAAATTAAAAAAAAAACAATGAATTTGAAATTAAAAAGTCACCAATTGTAAAATATTTTAGATTTAAAAACAATTAAAAGTTATCCTTCATTTAAAATTGAAAAAGGAAAATAAAAATAATAAATAAGGGTGACTTAACATATTTTTATTTTTTCTTTTATGACAAAAGAATATTTAAAATAGTCAATTTCATTTTTGTTATAAAGGCATTTCGAATTCCTTTTTCCATTTTTTTTAATCTAATATATTTTTTAAAATTTCTTAAAATTTATAAAATTTTAATTTTAATTTTTTTATTTTACAAAATTTCAAGCACAATATTTTATATTTTTAACAAAAAAAAATTTGAAAAATCATAATGAAAAGTCCACATTAAAAAAAATATAGAATAAGAAAACTACATCAGAAGAATATTAAAAATAAAAAAAATATAATATGGGAATTAATCAAATTAGCAAAAACCAATTTGGAGCCACAAGACGTCAAAGAGCATCCATGGATGATAATACGTAAATCTGAAAGCATGCTTCATCGTAAGTCAAAACTCTTAGCAGCTTGAAGAGCTAGAAAAATGTCACAGGAAAAGTTATTGGATTTCTTTTCGACTGACAGTAAGACCAAATTAACCAATCTGTATTCGAAAGTTGTTAATAAGTGCTTTGATGATCGATTATTAACCTTTACCTAATTTGTTTATTAGGTTGAGAAATCATGAATATTTTGTTTTTTTTATTAAAAAAAAAGTTTGAACATGAAATCTTTCGAAGTGATGAAAGGTATCGATACCAATTAAACTACAACTTGACAAATATTTTATTGATTATAAAGCATATCATGCTAATATGCCATTCTTAAGTATCAGTATAATAATAAAACTTTTTTGGATTAAATGTAGTTAAGCAAATTACGTAGAACCCAATTGCCAAGATGGAGACCAAATTGACCTAAAAAAAAGGCAACAATAAAGAGATGAAAATAAATGGGGATGGCGTTTTGGTCTTTTCATCTTTTGTATTATTTTATTATTAATAATAAAATAATTAAAATGTCGTCGTTTCCCCCTTGGCTTGTTTTTCTTCCGACTTTCTCGATTTCTCTTGTTTGTTGTTTTTTTATTCTAGCGTATTTTTATTTTTTTTTCATTTTATCAAAATTTAAGGAAAATACCAGCATGCTTTTTAAAATCATAAAAAATATCTAAAAACTATAAGAAATCATATCATAGAAACTCCCTTTTTTTAAAATATTTTTTTAATAATATGTTTTATCAAATTTTGGGGATCAAAAAGAGATTTTGACAACGACTTTTCACCAATTAGCCTCAAGTTCCTTTCCACAAAACTGATCTTATCTTGAAACTCTATAACCAATTTACCTTTCTCTCATTGTTTCTCCTTTATATGAAGATAGAACTTGATAGCCGAAACACCTTTCCACAAATATAGTTATCTAGACCTTTATACTATTTACCACATTTTTTTCTCTAATAAATTTCATATTTCACATGCAGTTTAAAAATATCATAAAGAAAAGAAATTTTATAATATTCCTTGAGTATTATAGAGTTTCTTTCTCCATTAAGAATACAAAAATAATCCTTATTACTTTGTGTGGTAGTGTTTGATGCATTAGAAATGGATCTTTCATTAGTTGATCCTCAAGAGAACGACAAATAAAAAAATATCATGAAATGGTTAACCAATAACTCATTTCTTTCTGTCATCTATGAAAAATTTACACCAAGTTGATCCTCAAGAGAAACCATAATAATTAAATTGTCTAGTCCAAAATTGTTGGAAAATCTATGAAAATCAAACAAGTTAAACTTGAAAGATATTTAAAATGCAAACAAATAGAAGGATAAGAGTAAGAGATAATAGAACTCGATTCAAGATATGCTATGATTGGCTCTGATTTTTATCGCTATCTAGGTGAAAATAGCATTTGTAAATGTCCTCCTCCCAAGATACAATGAACCATTCAAAGATCTTCCTAACTCAATTCTTGATCTTTGGCCCCTCGTCAGTAGTCACTGCGAACGTCCTCCATCAGTGTAATAGAAAGTGTTTATTTATATGTGCACTCCAATAGAAAATCTAACCAACGAACCTCCCACATATGCCTAATGCATATAAAAATTTAATAATTTTTTGTAATGCTAGCATCAAAATTTAAATCTAAAAAATCTCTATATATATAAAAGCCTTTTTAACCAAGAGGCCAATCACTTTGGTTTACATAATGTTAAACAAACCCAACAATTGTAACCTTTCATATCAAACAATATGGTGGCTAACATCCAACCAATTTCTTGAAATTTTGCTCTTTTTGTTCAATAATTAATTTTTAATAAAAAAATTAACAGTTAAACTTAACTAATAACATAACATTTGATATTAATAATTTTTTGTTTGCTATACAAATATTTACAATATCATTCATTTCGAGTCAAAACTATTTGTATGCCACGCAGCAAAACTATTTGTAACCCAACTAACCAAGCTGCTCAACCGACACGTATACATCTTCCTCATCTTCACCTTCACCACCCAATATTGCTATTTCTTCGTCAATATCCTCGTTCCATAAATCTTCCCAGAAACCCTCATCGATTTCTTTACCTTTATTTCCATATTCTTCTCCTCTCTCAATACAATCTTCCTCCAAGTTGACCAGTTGGTCACCTAGTCCTTGCTTGTTCTCAGTTAGATTGTGAAATTCTGGAACTTCAAACTCAGAAAGATCACCATACTCCTGAGGTTCAATCTTAGCAAGTTCTCCTACTCCCTCAAGATGGCGAAATTCCTCAACCTCAACATCACTACACCCTTGATCAATTGGTAGCCTCCTCTTTTTACCAACCTCCTCTTCAATTTCTTTCACCATGTCCTTTTGTTGGGCTAGTTGCTGCAGAAAGTTGGGATTTTGCATTGCTCTAGCCAAGAAACTCAGCATCTGTTGCTGTTTATTCTCAGTCCTTTTAAGTCTTTGTACCATAAGTTGAAGGCATGCTTGAGTAGTCTGTTGCTGCTGTCTAAGCTTCGCTAGTTCCCCCATCAGTACTTGTTTGTCTCGCCTTAATTGATCAACTTCTCCATCTATTCCAAATGTTCCAACCTCAACACAAGCCGTTACAGCTTGGTGAGAAGTCTGAGGAGCTTTTCTCCTCCTAATATTCTTGAGAAGATGTTTTTTCCCTCTGAGAAAACATTCATTAGCAAACTCCCATCTATCTGGATTAACCTTTCTAAACCCCTACATAATCCAAATTCCACTCTCTTGATCAGTTCCAAAACATTCAAATATTATATTAAAAAAAAATTATAATTTTGTTGTAATTAAGAAAAAAATAATTAGTTTTGGCCATAATTATGATTATAGTTTCATGTTAACTGAACCATCACCAAATCAAAAGAAATATATTGAAAAATTGGTTAAGTAAAATCTATAACCATCGTGTTTATATCTGAAATCGTATCTATGATGATCATTGTCATGAAAAAAAAAAAAAAAGGACCAATCAAATCTTTTCTAAAAGAATAAAAAGTTAAGAAAAGAGGAAAAAAAAAAGCAACGAGTTTCTAGCTTGTTCTTGAACAAGCAAGCAGTCACATCTAGAAAAAGAAAATTCACTAAAATAACAGTAATACCGAAAGGGAAAAAAAAAAACCAATATTCATCACTTTCTCGATTGTTTAATTTCCTATTAAAAAATGAGTTAAAAGTTGATAAATCTGAAGGTATATTAAAAAAAGAAGAGTACTTACATATGTGTTAAGTTGCCTAACAAAGCTTGAGAAATTGCTGTGCTTGAAGTATCTGGGGAGGAGACTGGTGGTAAAGGCGTGGGGATCCCAAACAACAAAGCTGTTGTTTCCTCTACTCCAGGAAATAATATGGTTTGTGGGTGAATCTTCTATTATATCATAAGTCTTAGAGAGAAATGGAGGAGGAACTGGGTCATGGAGTCCCTTCATTGGTTGTGGAATAGCTGTAGATGCCATGCCTAATGAATATGTACTTGAACTAGCTCATGTATTACTCCTCCATGATCGCTCGGCGATTCATGATGGGGAAAGTTCTGATCACCTAGAGAGACAAGATTTGAGGTGGATTAGTCTCTCTCTGCCTTTTCTTTTTCTTTTTCTTTTTCTTTTTTGTCAGTGTGATTTTGCTGCTAGGTGGATGTGGAGACTAATGTGGTATGAATGCCTCATCTTGAGGAGAACGCAGTTTGGGATATATAAAAGCAGGGGAAATGATGAGAGATGTTTTGGCATCACTTTGGGGCTACACTTTTGTGATGTCAAAACCAAGAACGTAGCTTCTTTCATAGAACAGGAGTGGTGTACTGTCGGCCTTTTCTTTTGCCTCATCTTTCTCTGACACGTAGCTGCCGTTTTTAAAAACCAACACACCGAACGTCAGAGTTTTCAGTAGCCGCACTATCAACAACAACACTTTTTATGCGCTCGCTATTCACATGTCACCATTCGCTGATTGTGAATGTACCATTCACTCGCTATTCACATGGTACATATTCGGTTTTTTTAAAGTCATTTTGCATGTTGGATAGAATACCTTAAATCATTTTAAAAAATTATTTTAATTTAATAATTTATTTTATGTCATAGATCTATAAAAATATATAAAATAAAAAATAAAAAAATAATTCAATTTTATAATATTTTAATTATTTTTATATTTAATTATTTCTTTTGTGTTTTTTATAATTCTTCTACTTCAAAAATAATTTTTTTTATTCATGAATCCTTAAACAAAAAGAGAATTCAATACAAAATATATAAAAAAATTAGTATTTCATAAGACTATGTCAAAAAAAAACAATTAATGTAAAACTGACATAAAAATAAATAATTAAATAAATTGCTTTTGATTTTTATTCAATATTGATGAGAATATTAGTCTTTGAAAGTATGTACATTTGATTTTATATTTATTCATAGAAAAAATAAATAATAATAAAATAAAAAAACTATATTTGAATAATTGGATGTATAGTTATGCAAAAACATAATAATCCATATATTTTTAATTGATAGGATATTTGCTAAAAATAATAATTTCTTAAGTTAAAAAAGTAATAACAAAACAGTATATTATGAAGAATAAAATAATATTGTTTTTAACACTTGCATGACCCAATTTTTCTTACATTACACTCTACATCCTTAATTAATGGGTTAAAGGTTATGTTAATAAGACTACAAAAAGATCAAATTACTCTAAATAAAACCCAATCTCAAATACTTATCCTTTTCCAACCATCATTTTTCCTTTTCTTCTATCTCTCTCCTATCCCTTTCTCTCGTTCTATAACTCATTGACAATATTGAAAACACAACCGAAACCACCAAAATACGGAGAAATCGACACCAAAATAATAATAATAATAATAATAATAATAATAATTGAAGACACAACAACAAATTGCTACCCTCATCTCTATCTTTTGTCCTTGGAAAATCCTTTACGTTTAACCGATTTACTCCATCATTGTTGTTAGCATTCATTTTTAACTCTCATTTTTCATGATTTTCCCAAATAAAAAAACACATTTTAAATATTTTTGTTCAATCAATTTTATTTTTTCAAAATTATAACTTTTTATTAGTTTTTATAAATTTTTAAATTTTTTATGAGTTATTTATAAGCATTAAAAAATAAAGAAAAGAATAGAAAAAAATATAAGAGAAAAGAAAGAAAAAGGAATTAAAAAAAAGAGATGAATGGGTGTCAATTGAAATAATTGAGAAAATAAGGACAAAAAAAGTTTAATTAGGAGCATAATTGGAAGAATTGAAAACCCAAGATACTTTAATTACGGATAAATTTGGAAAAGAAATCAACATAATTAAAAGAAATGGGTGAAAATAAACTCAATTAAGGGTGAAATTGAAAAAAAAATAAAAGAATATTGGATCACAACGAAAAAACATATTCGACATTAGGGACTAAAAGAATTTAACCACTTAACCCTAAACCCTCTATATAAAAATCCATTTTTTTCCCATTCTCTTCTTTTCTCTCTCTAGTCGGCCCTAACACAAAAAACCCAAGAAATATCCTCTCTTTTCTTTCGACCACCACAATCACCATACCCGTTATCCCTATTGTTGTTCATCACCCACAAATGTCATATTTCTTCTTGGCATGCTTCATCGCAAAATTCATAAATGGTTAATAAACATCTCAAAACTTTTTATCAAAAGAATCCTATCAATGACCCAAAAAACAAAAGGAAATATGAAAGAAAAAGAAAAAGAAAAAGACATAAGAAAGAAAAAAATCCCTAATGCAAAACTTCCATGTTTATATGGGAGTCAAAATTTAGGCAAATTAATAAGAAGAGTTAAGGTTATGAAGCAAATTCATTATTCAAAATGATAAAGCCACCTCAACAAGCCTAAAAGAAAATTTTTTCTCATAATGGCCTAACTAATGGCTAAAGTGTCAAAGTTTAAGCAACATCACATAAAAGAGATTTTTGTGGAAAATAAAGCAATTCTATATCATAAGACTTTGAAACACTTTTTGAGCCTTTATATCATTTTTTTATGGGCCTAAGCCATAGCCTACATTACGTGATCATATAAACCCTTTTCTAATTAAAGGTAGTTTGCTTATGTTGTTAGACTCTAATCTCAAAAGAAAAGGAGAATGATTGGGAAAAAAAATATGACCAATTAGTGTCTTGTTCACCATTCTTTATGACTTCACATCATAAGTTTTCATTAACTAATTTGGGAGCAAAAGAATCAAGATATTCTCAAGCAAAATTATTCTTTAGAATCAATTTTTCAAAATACTTTCTATCCAAACCTTTTTTCATTTATCTAAAATAGACTTATCATTTGACCAATTGTCTTCAATCACACTAAAAGCTAGTTTTTATACAAACTTTGCATAATTTAACATATGTTTGCTTGTTTTAGCCCAACACCCTTCTTCAAAAAAATTGCATTATAGCATTTGAATGTCATGTATGACTTTTGATCATTTAACTTGAATATTCTTACGAATGAAAATACTTTCATTGGAACATTATTGTTTTTCTATCAAATGATCCGAATTGTATTTAAGAGAATCATTCAAGTTCATAACTTAATCCATAAAAACCAAAATGTTTAGTCAATAATTTCTCTTAAAATATGATGAAAATTTCAAGACTAATTTACAAATTATGATGCAAACATCAAAGATAAAATTTGAGCACAAATAATGGTTGCACCAAGAAAATAACAAATGTTTTCATTGGAACATCTTTGCTTTTCTATCAAATGATCTTAATTGTATTTAAGAGAATCATTTAAGTTCATAGTTTAATCCATAAAAACCAAAATGTTTAATCAATAATTTATCTTAAAATATGATGAAAATTTCAAGACTAATTTACAAATTATGACGCAAGTATCAAAAGATGAAATTTGAGCACAAATAGTTGTTGCACCAAGAAAATAACAAATACTTGATCTTGACTTATACTTAGGGGCATTTGATGACCCAATCTAAATTGAGAACACTTAAAGAAAAGACCAAGGATCTAACAACTCTAATCAAATTCAATTCCCGGCTAGAAAATGACATCACTATGCTAACTAGAGGAATAAAGGTTTAAATAGTAAGCTTCTCGAGCATAAATAAAAATAGTCAAAGCCATCAAGTTAGGAGGCAAAGAGCGAGTTTTAAGAGATGATAATCACTCGGTTAAAATTCGATAAGCAATCAAAATCGTCGAGTATGATCTCAAAGGAGTAGACTATAACACATATATGGCTAACCACTTCAAATTTTAGAAAACTCCCTTTACCTTAATTGGTTGAAGAAAGTTAAAAAAAAAAAAAAAAAAAAGACTCAAGTTCACAATGAATAGTGACCGGGGCCAAAGGGTTAGGAAAATTTTAATAGTATTATAGGATATGATCTAGTACATATGTCCAAAATGAGGCACCGGAGGGAGAGTTAAGTGTCGACGAGGTGAGACGACTTGTTTTTTTTACGGTAAGAAACTAACCATTGCTATCAACTTTATTGATATATTTTAGGAACGTCAACTCAAATGTAACAATAAAACCATCATTAAAGTTCAAAATTAAAAAAAAAAAAAGAAGAAGAAAAAAGAGGCTTATGTATCCCTACATATTTTTTCGAGCAGAGTCACCTAAAAATAGACCATCATCTTTGGCAAGGTCATCCTATAATAGACTATGATTTTAGGCGGGGTTGCCTAAAAATAGACCATCATCTTTTGTAGGGTTGTCCAATAATAGACCATGACGTTAGGAATGATTACCTTAAAAAAGACCATCATCTTTATAAGATGGTCCAATAATAGACCATTATCGATAATAACCCAAATTAAAAAAAAAAAAAAAAGACTAGTATAAAAGGAGCAATAACTGCTACTTTATTCTTATTTTTCCTCTTTTTTCTCTCCCTCTCTACTGTGATTTTTCTCCCAAAAACTCTCTCAACTTTCTCTTCAATTCCTAAGCTAATCCATTATTTAATTAGCTTAAAAAAATTATAAGTAAGAGGATTCAAGTGGATTTTACCTAGCTTAGAGTTGGGAAGCTTAGAGAACTAGAAAGAATTTAGGATTTGAAGAGCATAGTGTCAAAGGTAAGATCTTGATCCATTGATCTTTGAATTATGAATTTTATCTATAATTAATGATGATATTATTTGTTTTAAATTGTAAATTGCTTGAGAAATTGCTTAGATTAAGGTTAGGGATTTAAGACTCATTTAGGAAAAAAATGATTCTAAGTGATTGTGATAACTTGAATGATATTTAATTATCTTAGATAAGTGAAATAAGAAGTTAAATTGATGTAAAATTAAGTGAATTTGAGATATTGGAAGGTTAAAGATGATGAATAGTGATAAATTTGAAAATTGAGAAAAAATGAAATATTAAGCTATGTAAGCGCAATTAGAGGTAATTAAATGAGTATTGGGTGAGTTAGAATAGAATTGATCA